ACAAAACCCTCTCAATTTAGCATCCTTGAAGGGGCTTTTGTGCTCTGAATTTGCAGAGGACACAAACAGAGCAAAACAAGACCCTATCCTTTCTTAGAAATGTGAACTTTACAAAACAAATAAGCAAATAAATACATTTAATATGATAGACTAAAGATGAATATGGTGTAACACATTAAAAAGCTGACAAATACTATATAAGACAGAAACGTTTCCTTTTATTACAGTATTTGGAACAGACCCGTCAATATTACATCAGGTTTTCACTCAGCTCAAACATTTCATGGAAAAATAATGAACAAAAGTGTTAAATCAGCAAGTACTTTGCAGATGGGGGCCACTTCTACTGATTTTCATGGGAGAAAACTAGGTTTAATTATATTTTATATAACCTCATCGGCTCATTCTTAGAGGAGCTTTGATGTCTGATTGTTGGAGGAAACTTGCAGTGCAATTGAGGTCGATCAAATGTCTCTGTACCAGCATGACTCTAATGTTCTCTGGCAGCTTAAATTTGCTATATACCTCTCTATTTATATGCAAGATAAACTAGATAAGTACTAATGGATGGATAAGACGAAGACAAAAAGACCAAACTTACACAAAGGATTCCTTAAAATCATTGGGTTTAATGCAGCGCACATAATGAGGGGTGGTAGCATTCAGTGTTTCCATCAGAAGATGTAGCGAGTTCCTGAACTGTGGAAAGGAAAATGTTTTCATTTTATCATTATGTTATGCACCTCATCTTGATAATAAACAGAGCGTCAGTGGATCCACTGTCCAGCATCAATATGGATCTAAAACTGGCCTCTGACACTAAGTCTCACCTGGGTGCCCACAGTTTTCCTGTGCTCTCGGTTGTGGCCTTTTGGAACTGGTTTGGCAGCCCGGACGTTGATCTTGGATGTCTTGCTGGTGGCTGAGAGAGGACCAGCATCTTTACCATCGTGGAAGAGATCCGCAACCAGCTGGAACTGTACCAAAAAAATAAAATAAAAACAATAGTGAAAAGTGAAAGTGTTCAAAAGAAAAAAAAAGCCAATTTTTTTTTTATTTATAAATATATTTTAAATATGTTTTGTAGAGGCACAAGAATATTAATACATTTGATTATATAAGGTCACATGAAGAAATCTT